TACTTACTTGTAGTATATAAATCTAATCTCTAGCTCTTGCACAAATACGTGTATATTAATGTTATTGATCATACTATCACACTGCAACTGAATACTGCATTTGATACTACCTTTATTCCTAGCGGCACTTTATACAAACTAGTTCGATGAAGCATTCATCCTACAACCGACAGAAAAAATGCATTGTGTATTACAACTGAAATTTTGGAGCATATATTGCCGATAAGCCTTTCATTTTGCTGTATCTTGGTAGGCTCTGTAAGATCCATTTTAAATGTTTAGTGTGTGTGGAAATCACTCCATGTACACACTTGCACTTTGTTCCTATTGATTTCTTTAGTTGTAGATAGTTAGTTTTTTGATTGCATTTGAATTTTTGATGTTTGTATTTTTTATTATAGTTTTTTATTTTTTTTACGCCTTCACTAAATTTTTGCGTTTCTTCCCGAACTGCATCTATTTTGTTTTACTTGATACTTGTTCTTGGCGGCAGCCATATTGATTTGATCCTCCTTTAGTGCGTGTTCTAAACAGTCAGGATAGAATAGCGTTCATTTGTTGTGACTGGTAATTTTTCCCGCATCTTTTATCAACTTTATTTATTGTAATTTAGATTTGATTGGTTGAATAGCCGGGTGGTAATATTTGTTTAGATAACGGTGTACATTTAAATTTACGATGAATTATAGTACCGTCGTTTACCCGATTACTTGTTTTGATTTTGACGGGCAGGGGCGCGTGTCTAACCTACCTGAATGGCTATTCTTCAGTCCAAACCGTAGTTTGGATTCTACTGGCTCAATGATTTTATTTGATTCGTGATCCCGTATCTCATTCAGCCCACCTAGCTCCATATGATCTGCAGATTGATATGGAGATTTCCTAATTTTTCGGACTGATTTTTGCAGCCGTACGAAAAAGGAAATTAGACCATACTTGAAACTCAACCCCAAGTAAAATTCCCGCCCAAACAGTGGTGTCATATGCATCCCATTCCTCTGTGGATAATGACTTTGGAAGATTAGAAGTTTTCGGCCTTTTGTAATCAATAAACTATCCCTAATGACTAGCATTTGATGCAGCTATAAACACTGAACTGCTCAGTACAATTATATACTTTTTTTGGGCAAGAATAAACGGTTCTATAGAAACCTACCATTACTCAATTACCACCCAGATGATGCACTGCATAAATGAATGGAAGCAAACATTTTGCAAGAATTGAGCTAACTGATTGGAATCTGAAAATAAAAGCTGATGGAGCACGTAAAGAATTATTTACAACTTATACATATCGAGATCTCTACCACTATACTTGCTTCCAATTCGAGTTAATCCACCTCCACTAATATCCGAACAAATAACTTATGCGACATCTACAGACGTTCATAGCACCTTGGCTTACATGTACGACATTATTGTTTTCGTCGCAACCGCAGAAAAACTAAGTGTCCGTCTAAATATGGTAATTCGCGCGTTAAGGATGGTGGTTTCAAACTAAAACAATAGAAATGTGATTTTTAAATATATTCAAGAGAGTGCTTAGGATTTATTGCTGGTTGCCACGGAAGATGCTATGATCCCGAAACCACTGAAGCCATAGAACGAGTGCCACTGCTATCTGATCTTAATTCCCTACCATCATTTTTCGGGTTAGTAAATTATTATCCCCACTTCCTTTCACCTATGCATCAACATCTTGCACCTGTGAGTGAACATATGAGCAAAGAGATGAAGTGGAACTGGTTTCCTTAATGTCTGAGGAGCTCTTAAAGCATCAGCTCAACATTGTGATCAAATATGCTTGAGACACATTTAAACCGGAACATCGGAATAACCAATGTCACTGATACATAGAATTTGGAACTATAGCTGTTATTACCTAACTTCTTGACAACACACAGAATAACCGTGAACCCCGTCTTGCCTAAAGTTTTCTCCCCAATCGAAACAGTGTTTAATGGGTAAATTCGTACTCATTTGGTACCATTTATCCATGGCAAAAAATTTTAGTGATGAGTAACTGCTTTAGTAGTATACATCGATTAAGAAACTGCTCGAGTTCAACCTACCACCGGATCACTTCTCTGATGCAATTAGTCAAGAAGAACCTATTCGAAGCAGCACAAGCAGCAACCAGACTTCAGGCAGATCTTCGAGAAGTTATTGCCCTCTCCAATGCTTTCCAAAGACTCCTACGACTCAGATGTAGTTATAGAGTGGAACGGTGAGATGTTAGGCCAGTCACAAGTGGCCCAAATGATAAGCGCATGTTACTATTCAAGAAATGATTTCTAATTCTAAGAAACGAAATATTGGTGGCTACATTTTTAAGAAACCGGTACACAGGTGAGTGAGTGCACAAACGTGGTATGGTTTAGTTAATTAACTTCATTATTCACACAGTCTTTTTAAGATTCATCTCGAAGGTTTTTCGTATTAAAAGCCCTCCACGTATGCACTTGTAATCTATTTCTATCGCTATCCTATTGATACATTCTGTTGATCATTTTGATCACATTTGAGATGGTAATACTTGTATTTTTATCATAGTTTTGTCTTCCTCACGCCTTCATTAAGTTTCCCCGAACTATGATTATGTTGTTTTAGTTGATGCTCAGATTCTGCGTCAGCCATATTGATTCGTTCCCCCTTCTTTAATTGTGCTGCTTGCATTGACTGAAATCTTACATTTTTGATTGTGACTTGAAGCACTAATTCAGAATTGAAAACACTCTGTATTATGACGCAACCGAATACTATCTTTTGAACGAATCTTTACGTGATCTTTTCAGAAAGAATAGAACAAAATTTGTTTGTTGCATATGGTTTGACTACTGATTGGACAATTATTGGTTGAAAAACTGGGTGGTAATATTTGTGTAAAACTGTCGTTTACCAAATTACCTTGTTTTTATTTCAACTGGACGATAACGCGTATCTAAACTACCTGAACAGTTCCTCTTCATTTCAAACCTTGGTTTGGAATCTATAGTCTTTTCACTTCAGTAGCCGGTTATGTTCATGTAAACAGAGATTGTGTATCAGTATTAAATGAAAAAAATATCACATCACGACGGATATTATTGTCCTTTTCTCTCAGAGCCTTTGTACAGATGTTTCCAACTTACTTGGATACTGCATATCCTGTCCTTGCTGATTCTAGTAAATTCTGCACACTGATCTTTTCAATCTTTGTGGTCCACAGGCATGGTTCCAAACGATCTTGGACTGTAGATTTTAGATACCGTTTATGGAACAAACAAATTTGTAGCGTAAAAGGTTGTACGCAGTAAGAAATTTTGGTAAGGTGTGGGGTTATCCACACATTTTTCATTCTTCATTTGAAGTTTCTGTTCGTTTGGGAGAAACAGGCCTGTGTTAGTCCTGGCAGTGGTGATCTCTCGGTTGGCCCAAGCTTTTTTCTAAAGGGTTGACAGCTAGGGCTTTAATCACACATTGTGGTAAAGAGTTCCATTCTTTTACGATTTTATGGGAAAGTCAGTAGTCAGCTCAAAAGTAATTTCTCTTGGGCTTGTGAACATATTTTGAGTGTTCTCATAAATTCTCTGTTTTGGAAGACAAGATAAATGAGGGCATTTCGGATGGGTCAGGCCAGTGCAATATCAAACATTTTTAAGTACTTCACCTCTTAGATAATGGATGAGCGCTGCATGCAATAGTGTAAGTTCCACTTAGGGTTTCAATAAAGCTACACACATATCTTTTATGAAAATATCATCAATTTCCACCCCAACTTTCCAGATGCAGAAAGCAAACAAATTAGAGATCAAGTTTCGAAATGAAATACTCAACGAAAAATACGTTCTTCGACACAACATTCACTCAAAAAAACGGCCAAAAAACCATCCGAACTCCAAACGTCTGTTGTCTAAAAGTGTTCTAATTCAGGTCTTTGAAACTGCAAACTTTTCTAGCGGCAAACAAACCCCAAAATAAATACATCTGTAAGTATTCAACATTAGATGCTGACCACATTAGTTTTAATGGACTCACCTAACTGAAGGCGCTCGGTCATGCATCCTCACCAGATCATGAGTGGGGACGCCGTGCTCAACATCCCTTGAAATCGCTAGCCATATTGGATCAGACGATCCTCTAAATATTGGTAGCCTATCAATTATATCGTCGAACCTCCTCGCTTCTGTCATTTGATTTCACTTGGTGGGTACGATTCGTATTGGAAGGTGTTACTGGCTAAAGCGTTGTCAAACTCTGAATACCTGTGGCATCTTCACGTTGTAAGATAGGATTGTTTTTTCTTGTACGTGTCAGCATCTAAAGGTTGTTAATTAAGAATTTCTTAGTTGATTTATTTCTAGGACGACTGAAGTCTACTATGATGACGATTTAAATATGTGTTAGACCGATTGAGTAGGCTAATTCTTCTATCGTCCAGTTTCTGTGCCGAAAATGAGTAACAAGCCTAATATATGTCACTCTTATCAGACAACTTGTGGCCGTAGATAGGCTCACTGAGGTTTACACAGATTCATCGAGATTCAAAATCACATGAGAGTATCCCTGACAGATCTGTGGTGTGGCTGAATGAAAATATTAAAAACTTCCTGACGGAACCATTTGAAACCCACATGTATGTTTGTTATCCTTGTCTGAATGAGCCTTTTGCTGATGGGGTAAAAGCCAAAATAGAGAGGGCTTTCCAGTTTAGTGTCCCTTGAATCTCACATCCGTCATGTTCTGAGCAGCCTTCAAGTAGGATGCTCAGTTACGATTTATTTTTTGCATTAAGCTATGTTTTGTTCGGATATCCAGGTCGCTGACCGAATAAATCAGGAATCTTCTACTGTTGGAAACCGTAGCGAAACACTTTATTCCTTCAGTCATTTGAAAAATGAGTACATTTTCATGATAATATACAAACGAATGAACTCACTCTTGCACTCTAATGATTTTCTTCAATCATCTAGACATTATTAATAGTTAGTTACTATTTAGGTATTCAGTAATATCAATTGTTTGACTATTGTTAACTTGTAGGTCGTATGAAGCGCAATACTCAATGTAGGTTCTGGTTGACTCACAGTGCATGAAGGCATTCATAAAGGTTTGAGAGTTACGTTCCGCTAATTTCTACCACAGAAAAGGGCTCCCGATGCCTCAGATAACGGATCTGAACCTAGTAAGTTTTATCCTGTTATTTGTTGATGGGAATAAAACGTGGTTTCTCCCTGTGATAAACGCTTATTTCTAAGTTCTTTGTTTGTTGCCAAGTGAATTAAACCTTTTTATTCAATAAAGCATCCGTAGATAAAGTGAAGAGCTTCTTCTCAAAGTTTGGCAGTGGTTTGCGTACTGCTTTCGCCAAACCACAACATCCTAGTGTGCCAGTTACTAGTCGTGACGTTAACAATTATTGTTATCCTTCTGATGATCTGAAAACAAGCAAAGAAATTGTTTCTGCCTCAAGCGAGACGATTGACGCTCTTCATACTTTAAGGTATGTTTAAATTTTAACTGAGGTTCTGAAAGTATGTTGGCTTCGATCTACTTTCTAATTAGTCAAATGTTTGGTTTAGAGGTGGTAGAATTTATGAGACGTTTCGTAATCACTTCGTAACAGACCGCAGATACCAATTATTTTGTTGTCTGGTGGATCGTTTGATCCATTTTTCAGTAACTGGTCTGAGATCTGCTTAGTATCACGTGGCACATTCACTATTAGTGTTTATATTGTAGCTACTACGGAATAGTTCACCTTTCGCTTCGCTAAAGCTACCATATTTATGTGAAAAATATATTCGAGTGTAAGCCTATGCTTATGCAATAGTGAGTTTTTATCTTGGTACATATTTGGTGAGCAAATTCTTGTTACCCTCCTTACGGCTGTCGAGGTCAGTTATGTGTATTTAATTACCATTTTGTTCATGTTTCATGTCCATATTCATATGCAAATCTAAGTTTGTATATTGCTGCCCTCTACAAAGTTCTGAAGTTTTTTTGTAGTTTTTCATTGAAGTCACCACTACTTTTTCTCGAGTTCACTCAAAGTCTACCATACTTTTCAAGCAACCAGTTACATCAGTGACACTGATCTCTTTTGCTTCACTCGCTGATGGGCGTCCCACTTTGTATAACAATGCTTCTGAGTCCATTCATTCCATACAATGAGAACTGAATAAATCCTGACATTTTTTCTGCCGAATAACTTGCAGTTGTTTAGTCATAATACATTAACATGCTCTCATTGTTACAAATATAAATTACATGGCCAGTAAAATATAATCACAACAATAACCAGATTCAACCCTGGAACTGTAATATCGTCTCCTGTAGATTTGTTAACGTCTGTGCTACATTTTACGTGCTGTCCAACTGTTTTAGTCTACCCGCTGAGACTCATCATTCAGATAGCTGTTTAAAAAGTTCATAGAATATGTTATTTTCTCTTTAACTTCTATATACCGAACACCTGAGGAGTTTAGCTTGAGAATTTGCTTAACATTCGCCACAATAAGAATGTTGCTGAAATAGGAATAACAAAACATATTAATACCAAGGTCATCGTTCAGTACATACCTCATAGTTATAAAATGTGGCCTGTAAACCTAATCACATTTCCTTTTGTTTATTACAAGCACCACTCAGTAAAGTTTTCAACGCGATTTTTAAATCTATAAAGACATCACAGTGTACGAGGACATCACTGATATCTTACAAACACATATTAATATTTATTCGTGTGCATAGTAGTCTACAGTTAAGATCAATATAGTACAGTAACTATGAAAAAACATTTAGTTACGAAAATCATTACTTAAATGATAGTTATATATTTCACTGACTATAACTAATGTATTTTATAGCTCTTTGTACTGACTATTAAGTTTAATAATCTTGGTGAAATAAGATGTAGTTCAATCGAGAGTTAGAAAGCAGAGCTAATACACCTGTGGTCCTCAATACATGGCTAGTCACCCGTAGTTACACTTCGATCCAATTGTTTATAACTATAGAAACTTCGAATCTATTAACACAATTAACTAAATCTTGCTAACTGATTGTTGTATGCACTCATAAGTTTTTTCTCTTAATCTGCATTTTATTATCTTGGTCTGTTTATAATATAAAAAATTTAATTACCAAAAAGTTTTTAGCACATGGCATTATTTTTATATCCCTTTAGAACTGATCACCCAGTTATACATGGGTTTTGTTGCCCTTCAATTCATAGAACCTCCTGATATAATACTGGATGGCCTGTAAAATTATATAGTATGTATTCAATCCAAGAAGCGTATTCTTTAGTGGTTAAAGCTTCTAAATTACAATCATTTATTAGACTTCAAATGCCATTTTCGCCACTTTTGTTCGGAAAGCTAGTGGTTTAAGTTCATGTATACAAACTCATACTTGACTACTTAGTCACATTAGGTTATCCAGACTATGTATCGATAATTTTTTCTACATGGAGTGTCAGGACATTTCATGTCTTATGGCTTTTTTGAACGGAATTCTTTACTATTCTACCAAGTACTCGTTAACAGTTTTTCTAATTGTTCTCTATGGTCTCCTGTCATTTAAATCTATTGCTACTACTTACTAGCGAGATATATGAGATAGCCTTAAATCTTGTGTTATGGCGTAGTTTCAATTACGACAACTGAACATTGAGTTTCAATATGACCTCTCAGTAAAGCTTCTGGGTAAGCGAAAGGGTGTCGCTAATTTATTTCTCTTGTAATGGCATATATTCGCTGATGGTGTATAACGTAATTAAGTTAACATACATATTTTCAAGGTTTTTTCTAGGCTTTCCTGTTAACTGTAACAGAAATTGTAGATAATGTAGTTTAGTTTCACCATTCTTAGAACGTTTGGTATAGGTTCCACTCAGATCTCACATAATCATTTGGTAGTGATGGCTAATAAGTGTAGCATGTTCTTTGCTTTATCGGTGTATTAAGTACATTGTTTGATCAGAATAAAATTTTGCCTTTGTTTACTCTAAATGGTTAGCTTTAGGGGACGACCAAGTTTGTGCATGTAGCAATCTTTGATGTAGTTCATTGTTAAAGCACTCGTCTTTTGAGCCGTAGGTTGCGGGTTGGAATCTTGATCTAAGAACTAACTAAATTATTTCGGGATTTGGAAGTATCATCATCCTAGAGCGATAGGCATCCTCATCCTTAATGTTCTCCTGGGGAAATCATCATACTCTACAGATTGATCAAAGGTCGTGTGAAAGTAACTTAAGAGTGTCAAGCTAGTTTTCTTGGATACACTAACTATATATCAACTCCCCTACCAAATGCCCGAAAACCAACGTAACTATTTCAAACCAACAGTCATATTTTTCCTGATATCAGAACCATCTGGATAGAAATCTAATCGAACATTGTATGGTAAAGAAAAATATCCTTGGGAACCTTGCTAACACCTGAAGGAGATGGATGGCATATAGCCGCTTTGTGTTTCGAATTCCTTTTGTTGTCTTATTATACCAAACGCTTTTGGTGCTAGAAATGAACAAACCAAAAAACTAATCTTTGTATGTTGAAAATGATATCGGGACATTTCTATGTAGGTCACCATCTATTTCGTGGAGACCTAAATCTTGTCTCCTATAAGTTCTAGTCTCCCTGAGCCAAGGGTTTCCGATTTCTGTCATCCTGAAATTATTCATATTCATATGGTTACATCATGCAGGTAGCCCTAATATCACCTGTTATACGGCCAAGTATGGAAGGGACCTTTTCTAAAAAAATGGGAGCAACTTGAGGTACGAGCTGTCATGAATTAGTTATGCTTTACTTATATGGTTTGAACGGTTATCGTGTCGATTGAAAGAAGTAGAGATGTGATGGCATAAATAATAGTGCTGCATGAACACCTGTTGGTGGAACCTTAGTACCCATATGACTTTCTAAAAGTATCGTAACTTTATAACTTCTGACCTAATTGGATATCGTCAACAATCTAATTCTGTATCGATATCGCACTTTTTTTATCCTTTTCCATTTGGACAATTAAAAGTAACAGTACAAAATCTGTGGCGTATTTTAATCGACTGCTTTTATATTTCCTATTTATTCATCGTTCATTTCTTATTTAGTTAGTTATTTTGTCAGTGTTGTTATATTTTCATACTTAGTACATCTTTTGTATATACTGTACCGAGTTTTCACCGAAATAAATATATTAATAATATTGAAGTGTGATGTATCTATAACCCATTTGTATATAATCTGAGATATTTTCGAACTAAAATACTGTCTATACCAAGTTGTAATCTATCTATTCGTCGATGAACGAGTATGCTCACCATTGGTACACGTAATGCGTAAATCCCCTTAGGTAGTATTTTTGTGGTTAGAGGATTTGGCTTTCAGTCATAGAATCGCAAGTTTAAACCCCACTGTGCCTACTGAGATTTGAACTGACAAGTACCCTTCAAACCTCAAGTATAGCTTAAAGATGAGTACGTCAGCCTATGCTTAGTTAATTAGTTATCTCTTTGTGCCTAATGACGTTATCAGGAATACAAAAATCACAAGTAAATAAGTCACCTAAAAAAGACAAAGCTGTGAGTACTAAGAAGTTTGGAGTAATACTGTATTAAAGATTCGAAGGAAATAAAGAAAAAAAATGCATTTACACTACTTTAGTGTTTTTTAAGACTTGATCACGTCAAGTCTCTGTTCGTATATTATAATTACTATATGAAACTCAGCCAAGAAGTTTATACCCTTAACCATGTCTAAGACTAAGATTCAGTAACCTCATGGACTGATGTTATCTTACATCCTTATTGGAAGAAAGAAAAAGGCTTAAAACGTTCTCCTAATCCAACTTATGTTTTTCGAGAAGCTGCATTTTGTCAGCGTGATAACTAAAACGGGATATATTATTTGCATGTTTCGTGTTGATAAAAAGTTATCTAGTTAAGTACTATAATCACTAGTAATCTAACGAATAAATATTTACGTCGAGATTTTTATCCGTTTAGTAGAACGGGGAAACGGACATCTTTAGTGAGTACTGCTTGGCACTGTCTTCGAAGTAAAGACCGGTGTCAAGCAAGGTTGCTTACTCTCACCCTTTCTCTTTCCCATAGTGATCAACTGAATCATCAGATCACAGATGATGTGACCCTTCCATCGCACACGCAACAACAAACGCAGGCGAAGACAATCAGTGTAGCAGCAGCCTCAGCACAGTAGGTCTCAACATACACAAAGGGAAAAGCAAGATTCTCCGATACAACACAGCATGCACCAATCGAATCACACTTGACGGAGAATCTTTACATATCTGGGCAGCATCATTGATGAACACGATGGATCTGATGCAGATGTAAAGGCGCGGATCGTCAAAGCAAGAGCAGCATATTTACGACCGAAGAACATCTGGAACCCAAACCAACTGTCAACCAACACCATAGTCAGATTTTTCAATACAAATGTCAAGACAGTTCTACTGTAAGGGGCGGAAACCTGG